TTCTATTTCTGGGCAAAGTTTCATTTATTGGTGATAAAATGTGAGTTTTCTGCTTCAAAGATAAAAGACTGAAATGATTTTTAAAGGCCTGGGAAGCCCGGGAGAGTTATTACAAAACTAAATTTTAATGAGTTAAGTGTAAATGAATTAGAAACATGCATCTCAGATTTCTTATTAAAATATACATGAGGTTACAGGTTATGAAGAAAAATACTTGGCAAAGTACATCTCAGCAATTGCCAATCTTAAAACATTTGAGCATTTTATCAGTTGTCCCAATAACAGATGGAAGCTGCTGCTTTCTTCCATCCTTTGCTTGCATCATGAGTTCTTTTAAGCGTAAAGTGCCTGTCCTAGGTTCACTTTGACAGTGTATTGCTCATTTATTATTCCTAGGCACATACACAACAAAGTTAATATTTTCCCAGGACTGGAGAGGACATATAAAATTTAGCTGTTTGATATTGCATCCTTCATATATTCATACGAAACAGCTTCATTCCAGGCAACCTTAGTTATGTACTGAGTACTCATGAGTACATGTGATTATCTGTGAATGCCAAGGAGTTTATATATAAATAACCAGGAGCCTGCTATATTTTTACCCACTTTCAATAAATATGCTTTAAAACCTTGTCTTTTCTGGATTTATGTTTAAATTTGGCCATGCTTAACTTTTTTGAAGAAAGGTAGAAGGTAGACAAACTGAAATATTTGATACAAAGAAATCCCCTAGTTTGTTTTAACACATGTCCGAGAAAACAGAGAATACTTAATTGAACAGAAATAAACTCCTTGTACTGCCTTAAAGTTAGCAGTATTTTATAAAGGACATTACAACTGGAATGACCATTCCATTTGTTTTGTGCCATCTTAATTCATCATCTTTATTATCATCAATTGCTCTCTGATAGTCCAAAAAGTGCAAGGCCCACTCATCTTAAGATAAAGAGATAAACACCTTAAGGTCTTTGATTTCTATATGATCTATCAAAACAAAGTATTGAAAATAATCATTGAGATCATATCAGGTACTTAAATGTGATGTCTTTACAATGCAGACACTGTACACGTGTACACATTTGGGGCCAAATTATTTTCAGATTTCTCTAATAAACCATACCAGGCAAATAAAGAGGTATGCTGGCTCTGATGACCTGGTTTCCATTATTAAACCATTCTGGTGCCACACAAGATCTAATCCCCTTTGTTCCTGCCCTAAATCTTCCATCCCACTCCCTAGATAACTTACACTAAGAACTGACATAGGATTTTATAGACAGGCCCTAATAAACAATGCATCATTTTATGTGATCCAGACAACTATGCTGTGAAAATGGTTCATCAGATACTATAACCCTCATCTTATAAATGAGGAGCTGACTGGTGTGCAACCTTGGAAAAGTCCTTTATTCTTTGAGCATCATTGTCTTTATTGAACTACTTGCCACACTACATAAGGTTGTTTGGGGGATAAAATGAGAGAATGCATAAAAATATTTTAGCACAGTTCCTGATGCATATTAACTATTACATCAAAGATTATCAAATGTCAAATATTACTTATAGATCAATAAATAAATATCAAATATTTATACTATTGCATAGGTTCTCTTATTTAGTAATTTGTGAAGTCAGTATCAAAATCTAGATATTCTACTTTCTGGTCTGGTGTCCACTAGGCTATCCATTGTGTACAAGGAACTTTCTAAAGATAATATAAACCCCCTGTGTTCTCCCTTCTGTGTATTTTGCTGGACCTGTGTTCTTCAACTCCTTACCCACGGGCTCTCCAACCAAGCCCAGTCTCTGGCAGACACTCTGTCCTGCTATTTCCGAGTCCACTGCATTTAGAATCTCTTTCTGCCCTTGAACTCAATCTATTCAGCAGGACACAACTCAGGTGATACATGAGGGAAACTTGGGGACCCACACAGTGGACTTTTTGCCTCTGTTTCCATCATTTTTCTCTATCTCTGTTTAATGGTTATCATCTCATTTTTAAACAGTTTGTTGTCTCTCTCCTACACAAAGTCAGAAACTTTGTTTTACTGAACTCTGAGCCCATGTCTGTCTGTTGGATAATATTTGTTGAATTGATTCTAGATTCTTTTTTTTCCCCTTCATCATGCTGCCACATATGCTCTGGATGGCTTTGGCAGACCACAGTTACAGAACGGGGGCTCTAAATAATATTTGATTAAACATTTAACCTGACAGATATGGTTCCCCTGGCTAAATATTGGTTCCTATTCCTAGAAAATGTTTTACTTTTTCATTTGATGATAGACAAGTAGACTGGATAAAATATAAAGTTTTACACAAACATTGTTCAACTTTCCGCCAACACTGCCTACTTCTCCACCTCCGTTTCTTGCAAATCTCTCCCTTGTTCACTATGGCCCAGCTACATTGATGCTCTTTCGGTCCCTAAACACACCAAGCTCCCATTCTTCCTCATGGTAGTGGCATGCGCCATACTCAGCTTAGAACTGAGTCTTTCCCCACCTGCACGTGGCTGCCTGCCTCTCATCCTTCAGGTATCATTAAAGATCTGCTTAGCACCACAGTGAAGTCCATCTAGTGAAAAGTCAAATAGATCTCCTTTTATTTTCCTTCATAGCTTCCTGATTCTTTCCTTTCTTTTCTTTTCTTTTTCCTTTTTTAAATAAATTATTATTTGTATTTTATTTGATAACTTTCTGTCAGTTTCTCACATTAGAAGTAAATTCCATGAAGGCAAGAATCACACCTGTCTGGTTGAGGACCATGGGACTACACTGCACGATAATTACTCATTGAATAAATAAATAAGAAAGGGATCAAAGTAAGTGTGGATGTTCTATATTGGGATGGATGTCAAGTATAACTTTTTAGTGAATTAGACTACTGCAGACCATAGAGACTTAGCAAAGAGAAACACAGTCGGTCAGTGTGTCAGTGAGCCTGCAGTTGCTTGTCAGTGATTTGTGAAATAAATTGTTAGGTACAGCACTAAGTATGTGAGCTGAGTTCATACACAGATCAGTACCTTGCCATTGCTTTTAGGATAATAAACAAAAAGCCTATGTGATTTGATCTTTAGACCTTCTCTTGTTAACTCTGACCCTGGCATTCAGTCTTCTTTCACTGTCTAAAATGACATTCTCTTTACCACAAACATGAGCACACTTCACTCATTAGAAAAGATACACAGATCAATTTACCTGCTTCTCTCACATGCCCCTACTGTTTCTTGTCTGTTTTCTAAGCTCATCCAGTTTCCCAGGGAATGTGTCCTTCAGCCTGTGCCCTTTATTGCCCGGCTGCTGTTGCAACAGACTTTGGGTTCCCATAATCTTCCACAACTCTTGTGACTTTGTATAAATGAAACAAAAACACACAGTTTTGCTCTGAGTACCCTAATATACCTTGGAGAATCATTCTATGATTTGTAGTAGTTTTCAAAAATAGAATAACTTGCGTTTGCTTCAGAGACTATGGTGCTATTTGAAAGACTATGAAAGGCTCATTAACATGATATAAGAGCGCTTCAAAGTCATAGAAGAGGAGGAGAAAGTTAAAGCAATCAAGTTGGGTTTCATTTTGTCCTGTGAGAGTCTTCTGGGTAAACAAATTCCCTAATATGAGAATGCTTTTTGTGATACAAATAACATTTTTATTAGTTGTGCTTACCAAAAAAATTTAAAGGAATTAATCTTAGGGGAAAAAAAGGTGGAATTTTACAGTTCCTCCTTGCCAAACAAGAACCCTCTTGTCCTTCATGTTTTGATTGCATTAATATCTGTGTTGTTTGCATAGAGTCGGTAAACCAGCACTGAATACAGTGTCTTTCCAAATTCATCAAGACGTACCTCACTGTTCTGTAGTCTGAAGTGATTAGCACAGCTCACTGTACCTCTGCACTGTGGCTCTATAAACACAGCCCAGCTGTATTAATCTTCCAAAACTGAAAAATGAGAACTAGCTTTCCTCCACTTAATTTTTACTAAAGCTTCTACAATACGGTGCTCGTGTTACAGTTAAACATTAGCTGCACAGCTTTCTTTTTCTTTAGCTATTAGTCCCTTAGGTATAACTCTGTAATCAGAGGGAGGTCAACTGTATCCAAATGATAATATGCCAGAATGTCTCTGGCATAAATCTCTCCCTAAAGATTTCAGTAGTGTTACTTCAGGAAAGGGAGAAAAATACTATGTTTATCTTAAAAATATAAGAACTTAATTCATTAAAAAAATAAAATAAAATACTGGATTATCCTTACAGAGAGCTAGGCAAGCATAGGATCTCCAGGTTACTCATCAAGTTGTTTTACTTTTTACTAACTTGGGAAAAAATGTGGATAATCACAGAAATAAAAGTGCTATATAGGAACTATATTGATTAGCATTTCCCATATTACTATCAAATACAGAGGTGGCAAAATAATTTAAATTCAGTTTTAGCATTATAGTCATTGCCCAGTATCCAGTTAATTTTGGAAGTTGCTGAGGGCCAGTTCTTGGAAAAATTACGAAATAGATAGAAAACAAAGTAGAAAGAGATGGAAAATCTCTTTCTCTGTATTTAGATGTCAGTTGTCTAATCTTCTGAACTTTTTCACTAATAATTAATTGTCCTATTCCCAATACCAGGCTCAAGGTTAGAATGCTTCTTAAGAATGTTTGCATTTTACTGGCCCTACACATAAATCCAGGTCTGACTTAGACTGTATCTTGAAACTTCCCATCATCACACCGGGAAATGAGTCCCAATGGAATGACACTGCAGCTTGATTTCCATGACAGCGTTCTGCCTTCTGAGTGCTCATGCACTGACCCAGGTCAGATGGCACTTAAGACTGCTGAGAAGATATTTATTGAAGGCCTCCTATTTGCAAATAATCATAACAAGTATGAATAAATTTCCTTTCAGTTAATGCCACTAATTTCCAAATGTTCAATTTACTTAAAATTGTTTATTCTCCTTCTTTGCTCCTTCATTATCAATTGATTTTTCAGGCTGGTGGTTTGATGCCTGTGGTCCATCCAATCTAAATGGAATGTTCTATACTGCGGGACAAAATCATGGAAAACTGAATGGGATAAAGTGGCACTACTTCAAGGGGCCAAGTTACTCCTTACGTTCCACTACAATGATGATTCGACCTTTGGACTTTTAAAGGCACCATGTCAGAAGCAATAATCAAAGCAACAAAGAAATCTGGAAGAGTTACCAGATAAGAAACTGCTTGAAGACTTTGGAAGCAAGCAATATTGTCTCCCTTCCAGCAACAAATGGCAGTTATGTGAACTCACCAAGGTTCTTGACTGGATTTGGAGCCGTTTGAGTTCACAGAAGTCCCTACTTGGGGTTACCATGTTTATTTGGCATGACTATAGAGAATGCCACTCACTGTTACACCTTAAAAAGGGAAGAAACTGCTCAGCTTGCTGTGCTTTAAAGTACTACTGGATCTTGTTTTAGAACTATGGTAGCCAGATGATAAATATGGTTTATTGCAGGTAAAACCAAAAGAAGAAGAAGAAGGAGAAAATGAATCAAAAAGAAAAGAAAAAGAATATACACAAAGAATGGAAACAGGCCTGCCATAATCCTTAGGAAAAGATGTATCACACCAGTGAAATGGTGTTTTTCTATGCAAACCTACTAACAATAAGTTTATACCATTGTACAATTTTAATAAAGTTCAGGAAAAACAGCCCTCTGAATTGGTTATATGTTAATGGATTTCAGAAGCCTAGTTCCTCATTTGTACTTAATGGTTGATTTCAGTTAACCCATCTTCAAATGTAAATTCCACTTTGGTAAACCATAGCAAATTGTAGTGCATGAAGAATAACAGTGTGAGATATGCCCCATTGCTCTTTGATTTCTTGACACATTTTCAGGAAAAAAAGTGGACATAATTAAGTATAGACATATGAAGTGAAAAATTTAGCCCCCAATGCTATAGTTTTCATTTACTTTAAAAACTGATACATATTTATAGCCCAAGTAAACTTTAAAGAATGTGAAATATATCATCAAACTCTTAAAATAGTATACATGCACTTAATATTTCATTTGATATTATACATGAAAGCAGTATTTTAGAGTGTATTAAGTTGAAGTAAAACGAAGTAAACTGGAACAGTTCATTTTACAGTATCTTCTTGTATGTGTACACCTAAGTGTAACTTCATTATTTTTAAAATAACGATCTTGCAGTTCTTCACCCTGCTATTTTGTGCTAATTTAATTTTTACTAATCAACTGAAACATGCTTCCCAGATTCACTCTGTTCCAGTTTCTATAAAAAGATACACTTTGAAGTCTATGAAAAATAAAAGAATTATAAATATTAATTTACATAGCATGTTTATATCCACGGTAAACCCAATAGTTGTTTAATCTGGAATATGCAACATTGTCCTTAGTTGATGCAAATAAACGTAAGTTTTCCAAGCAATCTACTAAACTACTTTATGAAGTACATTATTTCTTAATTTTTTTCTCTCTCCAGCTCTGTTTCCTTAGGCAATTTCTGTTTTTTAAAAATTATTATTAGTGGGGAAAATTGGCAAACTTTGTATTATACATGAAGGAAACACACAAAAAGGAAAAATAATCATAGTCACCTGACTAAGAGAATTCTGACTGCTAGCTTTTACAAATCTCTTATTCCTATGGGATAATCTATTTCAAGTAAATTTGGGAGCACAGATTTCTGTGGCAATTTAAATTTACTAAAGTAAATTTCTTTCTAAGTCTTCAAGATTACAATAATGAAGTTTTAATAAAAACATGAGTTACTGTGAGATAAGAAAATTGGAATACCTATTAAGCATTTTTTTTTTAAGTTTTTTTCAAGGCAACAGATCAATTTTAGGCCTGGTGACTTGATCTGTTTTGCCTTCTTGGCTTTCCTCCATTTGAGAGAATAAAGCTATTCCATTTTTAAGAAAATAATTTGTAAAGTTTGCCATGAAGTCTTTTTATTTATGCATCTGTATGCAACCCTATTTTGCCTCACAAGTGATATTTGCAGGTATTGCACAGTTTTCCTGTTCCTGGTGACCCCTTCATAACACCCTTCCTCTAAGGTCCCTCTCAATTATTTTCATTTAAGTGAAAGTACGTGTTTTGTTCTTTTGTGTTCCTACAAATAACTTTTACCAAACTTTTGATAAGAAGTACTATTTCCCAACCCATAGTACAAAAATAAAATGAAATAATGAAAAACAACAACAAAAAGCATGATATTTGCTGTTTGTATCTGGATTTGTAAAGTGAAACATTGTTTCCATTTATTTATAATAAAGCAGTATAAATGTTTTATGACTATTATATGCATTGTGTAATGCCTACATGTGTGTGGCCATTTAACTTGTATATCCTTTGCATTTAATTATTTCAGGATAAGATAACTAGGTAATAGGATTTTGTCTTTAAATTTTTATTTCAATAAAATTCATGTGGTTTCTATGCAAATTTCTTCATCAATGACAGCTTTATTTGATTTAAATAAAATTGAAAATAACGTACTTGTGCAACCTCATCTCATTTTAAGTAAATGCTTTACAGATTTTTAAATTAGAGATCGATGGAATAATGGAGTCACTGGGGGAAAAAACAAATTACTAAATGAACTAAAGCTTCAATCTTTGAAAAACATTCAGTTTTGGATGTGATAAAAGCTTACTCCATTAGAATGGTGACCCAAAGCAATATGGCTCTGATTCTGAGTCCCACATCTCTGTGGCTGCTAAGTCCGGCCAGTATTAGTGCTCTGTTATCATATGACAATTGACAATACATTCTGGGAACTCTGAATGTGTCATAATAGGATGTGTGCTGAATATCTGAGTTTAATATAAAAATTAAAGAGCTTCAGGGAGATGCTACCCACCAACCGTGCCTCTCGTCCTGCCGGGGGTCTCACCAGTTCAGTCCTTTCAAGGGTACTTCCTACATTTCCCCTTGATTTTGCTCCCACTGCCACCACAGCGATTTGAACGTTCATCAAGTTTCACCTATGTGAGCAGAAAAGATAGCCTTTCTCCTACTCCTCTCTGCTCCTATCTCATAAATGCACAAGCTTGTTCTCAAGCCAGAGTTGTGTCTTCCCTGCTCGAAACCCTTATTATACATGTAGGGTTTCCTCATTACCCCCTAAATTTGAAATAAACATGTCAGGTTAATGCCAGCCTACATTACCAGATAGCTCCATTCCACCTACTCAATGTTCCAATTAAAATGAAGATACCTCTGTAGGAGACTAATTACAGAAATGACCCCTCTGCTTGCCCTTTCCCTATGAATGCCCTTACAATGTGACTTCACGGCTCATCCCATAAAGAGATGGAGTCTATTTCCCCATTCCCTGAATGGCTGTGTTGAGACTTGCTCTAGCCAATAGGATGCAGAAGTGCCTGTGTGTCACTTCTGAGCTGAGGTCTCAAGAGCCATTCAGTCCCACCCTTTCTCTACCAGTAGAAAGAAAAAATAAGGTAGCTTAATGGAAGATTAGAGTCCGCAGGAAGCAAGACTAAGTTTACTATCTGAGACCACCCTTATCCAGCCAGCCCCCTGCAAATCCACCAAATGTCCCCAGATATGAGTAAACTCAGCTGCAATCAACTGAGTCTGGCTCAGATGAGCAGAACTGCCCAGCAATGTGCATAATCATGAGAAAAAATAAGGGGGTGTTGTGTGTGTAAGCCATTACATTTTGGGGTGATTTGTTAATCATTGTAACAATAGCTAACTGATACAGAATGATAACAGCTCCTTCCATGCCACACACATGAGATCCTAATGCACGTTAAGGATTCAGAACATGCCCTAAAAGAATGTTCTCTTCTTTCATGTAGGCAAAGACCTAACAATCGTCTATGGTGCATCAAAATATTAGCTACTTCATGAGACTTTCTCTAATGCTCTCTATTAATTGTCACATTATGTCCATTCATATGCTTTTATAGCTCTTAACACATATTGTTTGAGCTTTGTCTTACTCCCTACTGTTTTGTAAATAGGCTGTCTCTTATCCATTTTTTAATTCTCCACAGTACCTAGTAGATCTTTTGTTATTTGTTCAATGGAATGAAATTATCTGAAAGATTAACATTCTCTCTATACAAATTCAACAATACTAGACTTGACCACTATATTAAGCCATTTATTTTCAGACTTTAAACTTAACACATTCTACTCCAGAAAAAAAAACCATGTTCAAACTTACTTTAGTCATCTACAGAAATTCATTTCATTACCAACTTTACTGGAACATACATATTGCATAGACTGAGGGAGGTTTATGTGTTTCTTTTCATTCTAAAATTATGTAGCTATATGAAATGTACTGTTGAATAGTAATTTTATTTTTCATTATACATTATTTTAATGTAATGATCTGAATTTAGATATTTTTATTTGGGCAACTTATTTCAGCTTTACAATTTAAGGTTCAACTGAAGGCTTTTTTCCAGTTGATGCTCTTTGAATAAAAGTCTCTTCTAATTCAAAACCAATATATTCTCATGGATTCCTTTTCATGGATCATTATGTTATTGATTACTTATTTTATACCATCCATTGAGATTATGAAAATGAACATATAAAAGGATTCCTAGGAAATATTGATATTAAGCAAGTCATTGAAGACATTCAAGAAAGAGAGCAATAGACTCATGACAAATCGTGGATAATAGTTAAGGTTTAATAAGTCCCAGGGTTTTGCCTTTTAATCCAGGAAAAATAATCTCATACTCCGACACACTAACTCTCATCAAATTGTGAAAGGATATTTTATTTTGTGGAGAGAATGACTCCTGATATCCTTTACAAGCAATCTCCTACTTCATCTGCTCATAAAACTAGTCTGCCTCCCCAGGCCATCCACTCCGTCTTGGCCCTCAGGGATAGTGTGCATGTTGTGATGGTGGGAACTAGACGGGTACCACTCTCATCTAGTTCTGGCACAGAACTGTGACTACCTTACCTAAGTTCTTCCTACATAAAGTAAAAAAATGTTTCTGCTTCCAAGTCATGCTGTAAGGAACCAGGATCAACTTCATAAAAAAGGTTCTAACACATTGTAAGTTGAAAATGGATTTAAAAGAAAATATAAGCAAGGTATATTCATTTGCATTGTTTAATAGAATGTCTAAACATCAAAACAGTGATGTAAAAGATTAGAGAAAAATATCATCAATATTTGTAAATAAACTTCAATATTAGGAGAAAAGTATAACCATCAGAGTCATAAGAAAATGCTGGATTATAGTTGTATAAACTCTTCCTTTAGGAAATTATTTTATAGCTTTGATTGAATGGCAGAGCATGTATTATATTTAACAAACATATTAAATAATTACTAAGATCCAGATGAAGCATTAGGAAACTACTAGGGATATCAATGATTATGGCATAAAGAAATTCACAATTAGAGAAACAAGGAAGTAGACTTTCATGAGCAGTAGGAATTTTAAATTAATAGAATTAAAGTAAGTATGTTTAGGCTGCAATGAGAATACTGAGACAAGAGTGATTAAGTTATTAAGGTTCTGCTGAAGGCTTTGTTGTATATAATTGTCTATAATAGTATGTAAAGAAAAAAGTACTACTCAATAGTAAATTTTATAGATATATGTTTTTAAAATTAGACATTTAGTCCACCCTCAATTTACATAACCCATTTCATAGAAGATGGCATTTGAGCTTTATTTTGAAAGTTTCTTGGGAGTTTACAGAAACAGGAGAAAGTGAAAAGGCAAAAAGATGTCAGAAAGCATGGAGTTATGGGAAACTCCAAGTCATTCAGTATGAGGGGACTAGAGTTGCTTTGAGAAAGGGATAGCAGAAGATGAGGTTGGAGATCAAGCCAGATCACGAAGGACTTTAACTCATGTTCCTAAGCTGAAACTTTGTTTTTCTTGATGAAGGGAGAAAATGCAGCATTTTATACACTTTAGAAACACTGTACTTGCTGTAGTTAGTAGACTCATTAGAAAGGAGTAAGACTGGAGAGGTGTGAACCAGTGAGGCTGCTGCCATACAAGTCTTCTATGGTGCGGACCTGATCTGTACAGCAGGGACCATAGGACTGGCCTGGAGAAGTTGGATTTTGAGAGATATTAAGGAAAAAGAATCCAAAGAACTTAACGAACTGATGGAAGATGGGGAAGGATCAAGGTCATTCCAGACCTTTGTTCTAGTTAGAAGAAGGCAGTGCAAAATGTCTAAAATAGGAAACAGGTTTTGAGAAGTGACTAACAAGTTTGGTTTCATGTATTTAGTTTGAATGAATCAGTTAGGCAATTGGATACATGAATCTGAGCTCAAACAGGACTAAAGTGGAAGATTTTAGACTCTACAGTATCTAAGCAGAAATTAAAATTACTAGATGAGATAATTTCATGAGAACATATAGTGAAACATATCTCAGTGAAAAACTTGATAAAACAAATATTTTAAGGAACAGGTAAACAAGAAGGATGGGAAAAGGAGATGAGAACTCATGGCCAGATAAGAGGAGAACCAGGAGGGAATGTTATTCCAGCAGACTGCATTAAGAATCAGGATGCCAAGACTGCATACACCTGGAGAACAGAGCAGACCTCGCAAAACACAGTAACATACAAAAGCCTTGATCTGGCAGGACCCAAGCCCTTCCCCCATGCCAGCTCACCAGCGAGAGGAAGAGAAACAGCAGGGAGAGAGTGGAAGCCAGGGACTGCTGAACACCCAGACCTGGAGATATGCTTTGGGAGCACAAATCTACATTGCATGGTGATCTGGAGATTAGTGAGGTTGGAAAGCTAAGACAGGTGGAATAAGTAGAGAGACAGATTTCAGCCATTTGGGGAGGACAAGGATCTACATCCAGCTGCTCTGGGACAAAGGAAAGGCGGGTGGTCTGAGAGGCTTCCTAGCAGTGAGAGGGCTGCTAAAGGGATGGGGTTTGCAGAGTGGCTTACACCTGTGTGCTTGGCCCACTGCCTCTGACAGTGGAGACAGGCACTGCAGCCAGGAAGCAGGAAACATCTCTTTCCTACCCTCAGGCATCCCGCACCACTCCCCTGAGAACCCTGACCTCACTCCAGGGGCTGAGCAGCTCCAGAGACTAGAGCTTCTGGGAACTAGAGGGTGCCACATAGAAATATGAAACATCAAAGGAACCTGGTTCAGACCAAAATCTCACAAATCCCAGTAAAAGGTCAAAATGAAACTGAACTCATCAATTTCCTGAAAGAGAGTTCAAAACAAAAATCATAAAAATGCTCATGGAGATACAGAAAAACATTCAAGAACTCAGGAATGAATTTAAGTCAGAGATTCAATCATTAAGAAATTCCATATCTGAAATGAAACATACAATGGAGGGATTTAAAAGCAGATTAGATGTAGTAGAAGAGATGGTAAATGGAATAGAAATTAGAGAAAAGGAATACAAAGAAGATGAGGCACAGAGAGAAAAAAGGATCTCTAACAATGAAAGAATATTGAGAGAACTATGTGACCAATCCAAACA